CAATGGAATACTACTCAGCTATAAAACAGAATGAAATACTGCCATTTGCAACGACATGTATGGATCTAGAGAGAATCATATTAAGTGAAACAAGTCAGGCACAGAAAGAGAAATATCACATATTCTCACTTATTTGTGGGAGCTAAAAATAAATTAAAAAATACACAAAAACCAGCGGGGGGGGGAGAAGACACAACAATTACAATTCCTTGAAGTTGATATGACAAGTGAACAGAAAGGACATTGTTGGGAGGGAGGGGAGAGAGGGAGGAGGGAGGGAGGTTTCAGTAATGGGCCACAATAATCAACCACATTGTATATTGACAAAATAAAAATAAAAAATAAAAAACCTATAATAGGTTGGGGAAAAAAAAAAAAAAAAAAGAAAGAAGGTTTGGCCAGCAGCTTCCAGGATTTCCTAAAAATCCAGAACAGACTGGCCCCACACAGAATGGATGTAGTTCAAGAACTGGAAGTCTCCAAAGCAGTTTTAGAAACTAAACTCTTAAGACAGCTCTCAAAAAGCTTATTTTTACTGGTCCTCAATGGCAGTAGTCTGATCCTCAGATATTCTGATGTCTTATCTCTTCTCTGACTCTACCAGACTGAAGTTTCTGACCAGTCATTTTACTCTCTATACTCTGTTTCTCTGTTTCGTTTGGTTTCTTGAGGCCTCTGTTTCCTCTTTTTCCCATATCATTTCAGCTTTTGCTTTCACTTTCTTCTTATCCTCTTCCCATATTTCTCTGTTCAAATTCTTAAGATAATTTGATTAGCCCAGGTAATCACTTTCTCACCTCTATTTGAGTAGACTTAGGGGTCCCCCTCTGAATCTTCATTTCTTTAACTGTAAAATGGAGATAATACCACCTACCTACCTTACACAGATATTGTGAGAATGTGAATAATGTGTATGTAGCAGCTAGAATGATGCCTGACCAATAATGTCTAACACATGTTAATTTCTTCCCTCCCTTTCCCTCAAGGTCATGCACAGTACCTTTTTCTGGATCAGTGGTATCACAGGTACTTAACAGGCATTTGCTGTATACTAATAAAAATTATATATGTATGTGACTGTAGATAGACATGTATATATGGAGAGACAGAGACACAGACATAGGTCTATGCACACACACATATGCAGAGAAAAGAAAAGAGAGTAAAAGAGAAAAATATATATTTATTTAACATATAGCCAGATATTTGAAATTAGGTATTCAGAGAAATAATGTAGAAGCAAAATAAAAATTATGAATACTTGCTGTTTTTGAGTATATACTAGGTGATATCAATTCATACATAATTTGTTTAATAACCCTCTGAGCTATCTACCCTTAATCCACTTTATAGATGAAAGAAACTGTAGTATTTTATCATTCTTCCACTTGTATTTTGGGCAATTGATAAAAATACATTTGTCAAGGGTGTTTGCATGTTAGCTCAGCTGATTAGAGTGCCGTGTTATAACACCAAGGTCAAGGGTTACATTGCCCATATAGGCCAACCACCAAATACAAAACAAAAGGAAAACAAACAAAAAATATATTCATCATCACTTTAGTATATATGACCTTGTATTGTTTTGGTTGTTCCATGTGATAATTCTGCCTCCTAACATAACTGTTGGTTCCTTAAGGAAGGTCACCACTAGCCTCATGAGACCTGTAATCATGCTCGGATGCCCCACTGTCCATTGACTGGCTGCACAACTTTGGGCAAGTTGCTTAACCTCACCAGAGTAAAGCAAGAGAATTGAAGAGGTGGCTCCTTCCCACTTTGTGCTCCATGGTATCATAAAGATGGCATTCATTCTCATTAAAGTTTGCTCTCTTTCACAGCCCTGAGCTCAGAGGACTCTCCCATTACAGTTCTTGAACAGTTAAGGAAATCTACCATGCTTGTGTGTTTTCCGATTCTGGTGCTGAAGTCTCAGCCTTTGGTTCTAAAATGAAGTAGGTCTTGAAAAAAAAATTAGAAATGAGGTTGTAAATATCAAAGTCATAATCATCATCAATCATAGCCAAGTAATAGCTCCCATCCACAGCACTGCCTGACCCATATTTCATTTTAATCCTCTAATAATCCTGTACAGGATAATTATTCCCATTTTACAAGTGAGAAAATCAAGATTCTTCATAGAACCTTTTAAAGTAAATATCCTACTTCATTAGGAAATACGTTATGAGACTTTCATTTGCTACACCTTGGATAAAGGTGCTCTAGATTTCCCAAGACCAAAAGACACTTATAAGAAATAATAAATATTATCAAGAGTCCGACATTCAAGTTAATACAACAGACAGACACATAATTCTTACGTATATGTTTTAATCAGAATAAAAGGTAGGCTGAATGTACTCACGGACATTCCCTGCGTGTAGAGCTAAGCAGCTACTCTTCTGGCTGTTTCCACCAGAGTTGCACAAAGGCCTTAGGGTTATGCCATGAGGTACGGATACTGTCATTTCCATGCTACTTCAGATTTACAAGCAAAGAATTCTAGTTCTCCAAGGGAAGAATCTTGGCTTTAGGGGAAAGGGGTGAAAAAACATTTGTGGAGTTTCTTTTTCCCCAGAAGCTTTCACAGTAGCAAGGCTAAAGCTCTAAGTGCATGCTGATTGGGAGGCTTTTTCTCTAGAAGGCCAAAAAGGGAGGCCCATACAGAGATAGCAGGGAAGAACTGAGAGAAGGATGAGACCAGATGCCCCAGCCAGCAGTACAGAGTACATGGCTTGGCATCCTCTGTCATATATTTCTAAGGCCTTTAAGTGGCAGCAATAGCTGACTGAATGGATTATGGGTCCAGGAAAAGTGAGGGTACCTTTCATTATGTTAGAAAATTTACTGTAGGTCTAATATGTAGCCACTAGCCACAGATAGCTATTTAAATTAAAATCAATTAAAAATTTAAAAATTTAAAATTCAGTTCCTCTGTCACACTAGCAACATTTCAAGTGCTCAGTAGCCACATGTGGCTAGTGACTATAGTACTAGAAAGCACTGATATAGAATATTTCCATAGTCACAGCAAGGTCTATTGGAGAGCATTGCTTTAGAGTGTAGATTATATAAAAAATCAACATTTCAAACTCTTGAAGTTTAATTATTACCAGGGAAATATATATGGCATAATGGTTAAGAGCAATGACTTGGCACCCAAACTTCCTAGACTCAAATTCTGGCCCCACGCCTTGCTAGCTACATGACTTTCAGCATGCTACTAAGTACTCTGGGCCTCAGTTTCCTCATCTATAAAATGGAGATGATAATGTGCACATTTTATAAGGTTATTGTGAGAATTAATGAATGTAAAGCACTTATAATGGTTTCCAACACATAGTAAGTGCTATTTAAGTGTTAACTCATTATTAGTTTCTTATTGAAATATACTTCTGTAGTTTAGTACTAGGGAATAGATATAAACTGATTCACAGGTATGATCCTTTCTGTGCCCCCATCCCCATGAACCAAGTCTTGTAGGATAGGTTAAAATACTCTCCTGTCATCATGATATGTGTAAGACCAGGGAGGGACTCTCTCCTTACTTGTACAACAGAACGTCGGCTGCCTGGAGCACTGGGTATGTGAGCAGGCCTGCGGTCCCTTCGTGGTTCTGCTTAGCAGTCTTTGCCTGTGGGGGGTGAAAAGACAGCAGAGGAAAAAATCTGACTTGAACCTAATTATATTGCTAAATTAAGAAATTTTTAAAGCAACCAATGTGTGATCTGAAGCCACCTGTAATAACATATCTCAGTTCCTTTTAACAACTCCAGCCATCTTTGGGCCAGCTTGTCCTTATGCTCCAAGGTTAGGCAGGAACACAGTGAATCTGTTCCACCATGGCCCCTTTAAAGGATCCTGCACTGCCACTATTTCTCACTAATTTTATTAAAGTAATGACATAGGGGTTTTCTAGTTTCCAAATCAGATAAACTACAGATCTCACAGACAAGATCAGAAATTATCATGAAATTAAATTTCTGCAAATTAACATGAATTAACATCAAAAGCCTTATTGTTTATCTGTGGAAACATCCCAGAAAGCCTCACACCATGCTACTGAAAACACTGGAATGTTCCCTTAAAATCACATTTATAAAAACAAAATACAAAAATCATGGCATTTAAAAAATGAAACTAAGTAAGATAAATTTTAATCTAACCGATCCTAATTATCTGTCTTGAGCTTTAGGTGATTAAGAATGCTCGAGCAGTGAGGGTAAAGTGACTACAATGAACAGTACAAGTTGTACAGACAAAAACGCTTCCTTCATGGAAAAGTTGATGGAAACACTAGCAGTGAAATTAGAAACATTTAATAATTGGTGAGTGATGTGTGCTGATTATAAACTACTAGTGTGTAACCACTAAACATGAGCTCTAGTGATACTAATTCCCTTGCTGCAGTTGAACGCTACGGTGAAATTAGAAACATTTAATAATTGGTGAGTGATGTGTGCTGATTATAAACTACTAGTGTGCAACCACTAAACATGAGCTCTAGTGATACTAATTCCCTTGCTGCAGTTGAACGCTACGGACACGTAATTTGATTCTCTGAGTACAGCTACTTATTAAAAGGCAATAAATATTACGTATAGTTCTAAGGCCTACATGTATCATCTCTTATGATAAGTGGATATTTTGGTGGGTAGGTAAATCTTATTCGTTTACTTAATGCAAACCATTTCCCTCAAGTCCAATTATTTCTTAATAAACTGAATGACTTAATTTATAAACTTGTATGATTCCAAAGACCAAGCTCATGAGCTCACAACTCAGGCTTCCCTCACCAAAGTGCAGACACATGCTTTGAAACTGGGTCTGAAAAAGCAATAGCTTCTCTCTTTGACCATCTTAATTTCAATGTTCCATAATCTGTTCAAACTTACAACTTAACTTTTCTGGTTATATCTCATGTAGTTTCTGGCTTACCGCAACCAATGCTATAGGCCATTCAAAGGAAATTTGAAAGTTTGAACATACAATTTCTTCAGTACATCCCCACATTACAATGTCCATGAGAAAGGCTAGTTTGCAACTATCATTGGGTAAAGATAATGAAAGTTTAATTTGGAAAAGAGGAAATGGGAAAAGAACCCAATTTTTAAAAATTCCTACCACATTAGATTTGCAGTCTTTATATTAGCATTCTAGACCTTGAAATTAGAAGGGAAGAAGGCATATGCAGAAAACATTAATATTTATTGAGTGCCTATTATGTGCTCCAGATGCCTTTATGTGTGTTACTCATTAATCTTCCAAATAACCCTGATCCCACCCCTCTACAACACTGTTCCACCACTTACTGTCCCAATCAAAACCAAGCTAGGTGCTCTTATCAGATCTTCCCATAGCACTGGAATCCTGCCCTCAATATTTTCTTATTACTTGCTTAATTGTCTCTTCCCAAATAGACTGCAAGCCTCAAGAATGGTGCGATTCCCAATGTATGCTCATATACACTGATTGCTGTATATCCAGCATCTAGAGTGACATAAGACTCACAGAGGGTATCACTAGTACTTGCTAGTGAAAGAATGACCACAGAAAGCAGTAGCATGCCCTAGGATAGGGCTGGAATTTGAAATCCATGTTTTTTCCACAATAAGAAATTATGGCCGAGTGGAAAGTCTCCTCCAGAATATTGATGCATTCACTAGTAATGTGTTATCATGAGATCCTTACATGCTATTTTAAAGTGGGAACAGTTCTTATTAAATTAGTATTCAGTTCCCATAAAAAAGGATCAACATTAACTTAGTGGGGGAGTATTATGATAAAATGGGAAAGTCTTGCCTAAAACCAAAATATAATACAGAACATTAAAAAATTTTGTTTCTAACTCCTGGCTGATAATGGATCAGCAGCATTACCAATAGTGACTTATTTATTTAGTGTCTTAGCTTGTTCCAGCTGTTATAACAAAGTACCATACACTGGGTGGCTTATAAACAATAGAAATTTATTTCTCACAGTCTGGAACCTGAGAAGTCCAAGGCAAAGTCAGTGTCTGGTGAGGCCCCGCTTCCTGGTCCACTGAAGGCACCTTCTAGCTGTGTCCTCACATGATGGAAGTAGCAAGGGGTCTCTCTCAGGCCTCTTTCATAAGGGTACTAATTTCATTCAGGAGGCCTCTACCTTCATGATGTAAGTACCTCCCAAAGGCCCCACAACCTAATATCATCGCTTAGAAAGTTAGGTTTTAATATATAAATTTTGGGGGAACACAAACATTCAGACCATAGCATTTAGGTACTGTCACTTCAAAGCTCTTTTTGTTCCTTCCCACAACATATGCGAAGGCTTTAAAGACCAGCTTTTGAGGAAAGGGATGGCTCTGAATCTATGCTTGAAAGAAGCTTGAAACTGAAATTAGTGTTGACATAGTTGGGGGCTACTACCCTCAGGTTATCCAATTGCAAAAATAAATGAAAGTAAAGTACTACAAATTATCCAATTTATCTTTCTCAGTTGAACTTCTTAGAAAAAGTATAGCCTTAATTCTTCTGTGGGTTTGAACTGTTGCCTGGACTCACTTTGTTTAAATGTTAAATAAAATATGTTGTCTCTTCTCCCCACAATGAAAACATTCTTTCCCTACTGCCAGTTAATTCCAGTGGGGATGGGAGGCAACTTCAAGGTCCAGTAATCCAGAAATTGTAATTATTTTTTTGTTATAATGTTGTAGGTTCAAGGTCATTACCAAGTCTATCCAAAGGTAACTGATTCAACCATACATAGTTAAAACAAACAAACAATAGAATTTATAAGTCGGAAAAAATCTTAGAGAACTGTTTTACTTCCCATTTAATATCCTGAAGCAGAAAGGTTAAAGATGCTGTTCCAGCCATTAGTGAGTAGCAGACCAGGGAGGAGAGTAAATTCAGGATTCCCAGAACCTAACAAAAATTAACAGAAAAGGAAAAATAGCTTCCTTTCTGTTTACTATCCGATCACTGGCATTTACCTTCCACTGGTGTAAATGTTGTAATCGAGGTAGTCTGACCATACAGGCAAGGATCCAACTTAATTGCGTGTGTTCAGACACCTAAAGAAATAACACAGAATGTTAACAAAAGTGACCAATGTTTTCTTGCATATAAAAAAAAATAAACAGACAATGCGTATTACCTTAAATGGCTGAAAATACCCCAAATCATGGTTATTAAAAGAAGAACAGGTCAAGGGGCTTAGTTCTGATTCATAATGCTTAGAATCTTAGGTGAAGAAGAAATCATAAAAGCCAACTGATAACATTTACATTTCTAGTCTAGTGTTGAAATTCTCTCCACAACTTTCCTAGCAAGTGGGTTACCAGACTCTGCTTCATCATCTTCAGTGAGAGGGTTTCATATGTCCTGAGGACCTATTCCATCTTTAAAAACCCAAGCTTATTAAGAAGACACACACACATACACACACACACACACACACAAATATTCACATGCACTTGTTCCCAGTCCTCTCTAAACAATTCCTAAATGTATGAAAGCAGCTGTAATACCTATGTAAATGGTAGAGAAAGGTACTAGACTTAAAATTAAAGGCTGAATTTTTTAGATCTAGAGTGATTTCAAACTTAGGAATCACTAAGGGTATTTTTATGGCTTCTTTTTCTTTTTTTGGCAGCTAGCCAGTACAGGGATCCAAATCCTTGACCCTGGTGTTGTTAACACCACACCCTAATTAATTGAGCTAACTGGCCAGCCCCCTATTTAGTTACTAGTTCCTTCTCTTCCTTCTCCTCCTCCTTTCTTTTCTATCACGTGTGTAAGACATTTGTTTTGTAAGGAAGGATAGAGATGAGATAACTCATAGGGATTAGAGAGTAAAAATTTTGTTTTGTTTTTTACAGTGGGATAGATCTTTTGTCTATGTATTGAGTAGGAGAAGAGCCATTGAAGATATAAGAAAGGGGATAATTCAAAGAACAATATTCCCGAAGGGGGAAAAGAATGGTACCTTCTGTGCACTGACTGAATTGTGTCCTCAAAAGTTCATACATTAGAAGCTTAATTTTGACTATAACTGTTGAGAGTAGGAAATCCTATTACTGTAATTGAAAGTGGGGCCTTGGAGAGGTGATTAGATTGTAGGACCATACTGTAGTGAATGGATTAATAATGGTGGTCAGGGGCATGGTTCTGAGGGCTTTACAAGGACAGAACATGACAGCCTCTCTCTCTGTTCTGACATTTTCTGCCATGGGAAACCCTTGCATTGCTGTAAAGCCACCACCAAGAAGATCCTCACCAGAGGTGTTGCCTGGACTTTGGACTTCCCAGCCTCTGAAACTGTAAGCAAAGAATTTTGTTTTCTTACAAATTATCAAGTTTCATGTATTTTGTTATAAGCAACAGAAATGAACTAATACAGTACCCAACACAGGTAAAAATATGGACGACTGAAACATCTTCCACTGAAACAGGAGAGGAGAAAAGTACAGATGAGGATATATCTTGTAAGCTAGGAGTGGAGAAAGGAAAGTTTTAGAGGAATTCACATCTAATGACCTCTGTTATCTCTGAAAAGAGAACACAGAGGATTAGAAACAAATGGGCAAGAAATATAATCAGCAGAATTTCTGGGTTTGATAGAAAGAAACAAAAGATCTTCTGGAATGGAGTTAAATAAGGCTTGATGTTTTNCAGAATTTCTGGGTTTGATAGAAAGAAACAAAAGATCTTCTGGAATGGAGTTAAATAAGGCTTGATGTTTTGTAGACATTTTTATAAATGAAAGAGGAAAAATGAAGCATAAAAAATACTCTTAGGGAAACACTGACATTCTTCACAGTAGACTAAAATGTTCTACCTAAATAATAGTAAGTATTTTTTAAATTTGCAGAAAAAATTAAATCAGTTGACTTCATTTTAAATTGCCTTTAGTCAGGATTTTTAACAGGATCCCAGAAGTGCTAAACATAAATCAAAAAAACCTTGATAAATTAATCTACTTTAAAATTAAGAAATCTTTATCAAACATCACCACTTAAAGAACGAAAAGGTAAGCCATAGAATGGAAGAAAATATTTGTAATACCTATACAGAATATATTGGTATACAGAATATGTAAAGGACTCTTACAAATTTGTAACAAAAAAAGCAGATGAAAATTAGCCAAAAATATAAATAACGAATTCATACAAAGATATCCAGATGACAAGTTAATATATCAGAATATACTCAACATCATTAATAATCAGAGAAATGCAAATTACATGAATTAAATGCAATAAAGCCACAATACAGTACCACTACATATTCATCAAAATGACTAAAGTGAAAAATCTG